CACTTCCTGACCCTAAATAGCCCTGATCTGGACACGGTCACGCCGCTTGTCGGCAGCGTGTGACGTCACACGATCCGGCCGAGGAGACTGCGCACATGCGCTGGAATAAGTGATCCCCCAGATTCAACAACTGAACCATGCATGCGTGGAGGGACCGGCTAAAAGCTGATCATGGCTATCTCCTACTCTGTTCACTTTTAGGCAATCCCTGAAAATTTAGCTGTTCAGGAAAGCCTATCCTGCCACTACCTAACAACTGAACATTAACATTCTCCACACAATTATAATTTTTTTTACTTGCCCCTCCCTTTTAGATTGTAAAGCTTTCATAGGCGGGACCTCCTAAACCTGCTGTCTTAAATTTTATTGTAATTGTACTATCTACCTTGCAAATCTCTGTGCAAACTGTTAGCACAATATAAAACATTTAATAAGCACACATAACTCTTTCTTTAATATAACATACGAATATGCAAAAATGTCTGTGTATTTCAGTAAGTTTATTAAGCCCTCAGGGGCAGACTGACCATTTGGAAACTCGGGCATTGCCCAAGGGCCCGGGGTCAGTAGGGGGCCCCATGAGATGCCCCTGGTACCTTTTTCATAGGCTTTTTTGAGTTTGGGCAAGGACACAGGGGCCCCATGATCCCCTAATGCCCGGGGGCCCCATGAGTTGTCAGTCTGCCCCTGTAAGCCCTCTATGACTGCCCAACACATACAATACTGTATATGTGGCAGTATGGTAGGCTTTAAAGCCTGCATGCCACACATATGTGACACTGGATGGCTGATGTGTGTGATGAAAGCATGCTTACTGTGCACTTCCAGCTCAATAACCAAGCTGTCAAAGACAGCTGTCAGTCTGAGCCTAATATCTGTAGCTAGCGGGACTGACTTCCAATCATGTGACCAATGTGACAGTGGTGTAATCACCAATCCTTCCCACCCCTGGGCATTCAGAACTGTTTTAGTATATTTTAAGCTTTAATTTAATCCTTCCACAGAGTCGCACAGTACATAAAAATAACATCAGTGAGTGGGAACCCTCACTGCCCCAGAAACAAGATAATAAAACCACAATATGACTTCAAAAATTAGCAACATACATAGCAAATATAGTATATGAAATCTCCAGGGGCATCCTACTGTTCGGCTGCATGGAAGAACCAAGAATTTTTCCCTTTTATCAGGGGAATGTGTAAAAGAACAGAACAAAGCAGAAAGAAAGGTAAACAGGGGAAGAAACATATGTACAGGGACACACAACGAGAATAAGTATATATATATATATATATATATATATACAGTATATACAGCCAGTAGAACTATTTTTTCTGGAGCTGTTCCCCTTTCTGCCTCATAGCTGCAGTGAGTTCCTCAATAAACTGAATATCATTAACCAAAGAGAACCAATGACCCATTGAGGGGGTTTAGTACACTTTGACATCAGATATACACACCCTAGATGTTAGGTGAACTAGCAATGATTTGTATAGTGGTGTTTGGATATCTGGGTCAGATGTGACAAGAATGCCTCAGGTTTAGTTCTAAAGTTAAATATACGTGAGTTCACATTCTACTTTCTGGACTTTTTCCCAGAATAAGCGTATTAATGGGCAATGTCAAACAATTTGGAAGAGAGTCCCACATTCCTGTTGAAAACACAAAAACAGCAGTGAGGTGGCAGGGAATATTTTGTTTAAAAGAGAAGGTACCCTATACCACTTGGCCAATAATTTATACCCAGCCTCCTGGAATCTTCTCGAAATAGTTGACTAGCGTTCAAGTGAAACATGATCCCTTTGTTTATCCATTAAAGCAAGGCCCAGAGCAGACTCCTTTAAAATGTACATTTAGTAGAGATATTGGGTAATAGTTAGCAAATTGTAGCACATCCTTCCCTTCCTTGAGGAAAAGGAAAATATGTGTACACAAGGTTTTCATAGGGAAGGCCACATCTTTTAGAAGGGAGTTATGAGCTCGAACAAAGCATGAGGTAATAAGCTCTGAAAATGTAGTATAGAAGAGGAAACCCATCCTGTCCAGGTGCATGTCCCAACTTCATCTCTTTTAGAGCTACAAAAATGTTGTCTTCTATTATGGGGGATTCCAGAGCATCCTTTGCCTCAGTAGATAACTTTGGCATACTGGACTGGGCAAAGGATGCTTCAATCTCAGTCCTACAGACCACAGAGAAGGTTTATCCTCCCCAGTTGCCATATTATACAGTTTACTGTAAAAGTCACAAAAAGAATTGGCAATATCTAAAGATTTGTATAGCTTGTTCCTGTCAGGGATCGCGGCGTCCCGTCGGCCGGCGCATGCGCGCTGGCGACGGCTCACGCCGGGACGCAGGCATCAGGTCCCGGCGAGCCGGGGATGACAGGACACGCGCATGCGCAGTAGAAGCCGCGGGGCGCGCCTCGGGCGGCCAATGACAGCCCGGGGGCGCGTCCTGGGCGGCCAATGACAGTGCAGGGCGCACTATTTAAAGATGCCCTGCACTGTCAGTAATTGCCGCAAGGTCTATCTGTGATCCTGAGTTCCTGCACCCGTCTAGTGACCCTGTTTGACCCTGACTACGCTGCCTGCCCTGTGATTGACCCGGATTGCCCTGACTACGCTGCCTGCTCCTGTGATTGACCCGGATTGCCCTGACTACTCTGCCTGCTCCTGTGATTGACCGGATTGCCCTGACCATTCTACGGACTGACTTACCCTGCTGACCCTGCGTGTGACCCGACTCCTCTTTGCCCGCCGATTCTGTACCTCGCTTCCCCCAACGGGACCACGATCCGTTACTACTCTGCTGGGGCCGCCATCCGCTTCACATCTGGCTCTCCGGTACCTGCATACGTCCCCGGAGGTCTCCTCAGCCACTGGTGGGCCTGCTCAGAGGTCGTGACCTGGTCCGGGACTGTTTCAAGTCCATCCCCACCATCAGGGGCCCTGGTGAAAGCACAGATCGGGCTTAGACCCCACGCTCTGGGTAGGTCTGTCAGTTGGCAGCCTGAGGCACCACCTGGCGGATCATAACAGTTCCCCTCCAGGTGAGAGAATGCCAAAGGTCAGCCCAATTTGCTGCTGAATTCATAGTAAAACTTCCTGGTATAAAGTAATTTAGACTTCACCTTTTGATATAGGTAGAGATTGTAATTTCCCCCTCAAGATCTTCAAGTCAATCGCTGCTTGAGCCACAAGAGATTGTTTGTGTAGCAAATAAAGGGCCCTAATTTGGTCTACCTGCGAGTTTATCTCAGCCTGCTTCTCCTTTTTATCTTGGGCCCCACCCTAAAGAGGGTACCCTGAATCATACATTATGTGCCTCCCACAGAACCAAGGGTGATGTTTCAGAGGAGTCATTAGTTACAAAATATTCTCTTGGGTTTCTCTGTAGCTCCTGGACATATTGTGGGTTTTGAATGAGGCTTTTAATTTTTTCTGCAGATGCCTCTGAGTTGGGAAAGTTGTCCCAGCATGATGTTAAACAGAACAGGAGCATGATCTGATACTACCATCAGGCCAATGTCCATATGTTTAACAAGCAGAAGGTCCAATTGGAAGATTAAAAAAATAATCAAGGGTCGGATACAAGTTGTGTGGTGGGGAGTAATGCATGTAGTCCCGGGTGTCTTAATGTAAGATCTTCCAAATGTCCACCAGCACCAGGTGCACAGACACTTTCCTAAGTCTCCTAAGTGATGTGTGAGCCAAATGAGAGGCACATTCAGGACAGTTTAACCAAAGGATTTATCCCCCTTCCTGACCAGGCCATTTTTTGAGATACGGCACTTTATCTTAACTGACAACCGCGGTCATGCAACACTGCACCCAAATGAAATTTATGTCCTTTTTTTCCCACAAATAGAGCTTTTATTTGGAGATATGTGATTGCCTCTGCGTTTTTATTGTTTGCACTATAAACAAAAACAGATTGACAATTTTTAAAAAAAACAAACAATATTTTAGAATTTTTGCTATAAAACATATCCAGTAAAAAAATTTAAAAAATTAAATTTCTTCATAAATTTAGGCTAAAATGTATTCTGCTACATGTCCTTGCTAAAAAAAAATCCCAATATGTGTAAATTAATTGGTTTAGGTGAATGTTATAGTGTCTACAAATGGCGGTATATATACTGGAATTTATTTTTGTTTGTTTTTTTTATACTAGTAATGGTGGCAATCAGTGACTTATAGCAGAACTGCAGGACTGCAGCGGGCATTCTGCCCCTCAGGGGAACTGAGTAACTGCCACTGACATCCCAATGACAGTGATCATTGCTAATAAAAAGCACTGACACTGTACTAATGACACAGGGCAGGAAGGGGTTAACATCTGGGGTGATCAAAGGGTCAACCATGTACTGTGCTATGTTTCACTGTGTGTGCTTTGTCTGTTTTACTAGGGAAACATGCTACTGTGTATTTCTCTGCTGTGCAGAGAAGTAAATAGCAGCATGTTAGTGTTGGCAGGAGAGAGATCTCTGTTGTTTACACACATGTCTCTCTCCTGTCACAGTTCCATGGAGATCGCTGTATGTCGGCAGGAAATCTTTGGCCAGGACCTGGTGATCGACACCTGTAGCCACCAGTTGCCGCACGGGTAGGGTGACGCTCGCGCTCCCTAGCTGAAAATGCAAAGTCATCTATATATGTGTAATTTCGCGCAGCCTTGCTGCCCTGTAGCAGTAGTTCTGCTATAAGGCGGCGGGGAAGCAGTTAAAGGGGCACCAGAGTGGGCAGGAATGGGTTAATAATTACCTAAGCATATACAAGCTGTAACCTTTAAACCTCATCAAACACAGCTTAATTCCCTTATCACTTTTATCAAGTTGATCACAGCTATTTTTTATTGCAAAGATTTTTCTTTTACATTGAGAAATTGTTTGTAAATAATATCCCTTATGTAATCAGATACAATTGCTGTAAAGATAAATACAGGGAGAATCTTTGTATTGTTTCAGGATGACAGGGTTGACTAATTGTTTTGTTTTTAGTGCAATACCCAAGGAGACCAAGAACCTCCTGTTTCCCCATCAGTTGCCAAGGTGTATTTCCAACAAAACACAGATTTGCCACCTGAAAATAAATGCTACTGCTTCCCAAATAAGGTATGGATCATGACATATATGCATATGATTACACAGGTCTATGTGAAAATGGTACAAAGAATTGCCACTATTTCCATTTTTAAGGAAAAAATGTCAACAAATAAGATCATGTGGACAGGAAGTGATTTAATAAATGAAAGAACATGTTTCTGCCAAGTCTGTCAGTGTACTCAGCTTGCTAAACCCACTCTGGGTACATTTGTTTTTTCTATCACTGCAGTGTCCAAGCACAGAGCAGTTTTGACAAGCTGCACAACTATACATATTTGTGCTATAGAGCAAAGATGAACAAATATTTTTAAAAATCTGCTTTGCTAGAAGTTCATTAGACATGTGCACGCTGGTAATTTTCATTTTCAGAATTAATTTTGTATCGCCAGCATTAATTTTGTATATTCATTGGTCTGGGTGGATTTGAAAAGTTTTCAGTTTTTCCAGAAGATTGCTATATATTCATTATTTATTGAATTAAATGGATTTGAATCAGAAGGATTCCATATTTTCGGATGCTAGTCCAACCCACCAAAAAAAAATTACATGCGCTGATCAGACAATATCTACTGGCATCATGTGCATCCGAATTAGGGTATGAAAAGACATTCGTATTCATTCATTATTTGAATCCAAATTATCAAACAAATTCAAATTTAATTAATTTCCTCATGAGCCTGAACTACTATTGCATCATGTGAAATCATCCAAATAAAACAAATGCATTTGTTAATTAAATTACAACTTTTTTTGGATTCATTAACATAGCTAATATGTCGATTTGGAGATTTGCATACATCTGCATCTCTGACAATGACATTTTTGGCTGCAAAACTAATCAAAACAAAACAATATGAATATGACTACAGTTTACCTGGTCCGCTCCATAAATCCCACATCCTAGGGTCAGTATCCACTACCTTTATTAACTTTTTGTTATTCATTTGAAAAAAAAGGGGCTATTAGCCATCAAATAGAATAATTCACTTTACTCATACTTTACTCAGAACCTTAAATCCTCAGTCATATGCCTTTAAAATATAAATAATAATTGCAGATTTACAGTCTTTTTATATTCTGTTCTGTTTGTGCCAGATTTCAGTCTGAGTAAATATGTTTACTCATTTCTTCTACAGAATCAACATTTTAAATAAAAGCAACCAACACTGCTGTTTTTCACTGATTACTCATTTTTAAATTTAATTTCTACCTGTTTTTTACCTGCTCTATAACATTGTGATCTTGCCACACATTCAACAGATTTAACTGTAAATGTTCCAGTCCTGCTATATTTTTCATCCTAATATTTATAAGTGCATCACAGGATTTTGGCATCTGCTCCATGAAATAAAAAAATTAGCAAGTCTAAAAATAGGTATACATGTCAAGTTGTCAATAAACCAACTGGTTGAATGGAAAAAAACATCACAGATTCCTGAGTCCACACAAGCAATGTGGATGCAGGGATCTCCCCCACTGCACTATTGTATTATGACATCAAGGACTCTTCCCCCTGTCAGAATACACTGATTACTGCTGCAGTCATTTCTAGTTTTTGAGCAAATCGTTCTCAGAAGTTGGTCTAGCGTTCAGCGTCTTTTGAACAGAGAGGGCTATACACGAATCGAAATTTGGCTGGTTCTCCATCTTTGATGTGTATCTCCATCTTAAGACTTTTCAATACAATCATGCCATGCTTTCCTTCATGAATGGTTATACAAATGTGATAGTGTTGCAAATAAGGTTTAATAAAACTGAACTCCAGGCAAATGACTAAATACACAATGAAAAACAAATAAAAAGGATGGTTTGACTATCAAAAGGTCTTTACTTCTGTACATTCATTCCTATAATCTACAGATCCCCAACAGAAATCACAGCAAGCCTAGAGATCTGACCTTTTCTGTGCTGCATTTACTCTAAACTCTTTTTCAGGTCTTTTAATTTTGGGAAGGGAATCGTTGGACCCTCTGTCAGGTCTTTATTGCTGTCCTCACTTAGGAGTTTCACCCTTCTACTTGTCCTGGCAACCACTTTCACTGGGACACAAAGTATTGGGAAATACAGACATTTTTATTTGTCAAGTGAGGGAAGATCTTCTAATGGGATCTCTGTTTCTGGGACAATTCTCCAAGATGAGAACTCTGTTCATGAGATTTTTCTCTCATTTCCCGCTGTCTGCAGGATAGGAAATGAAGGGAAATATCCCCCCAAAAAACTGATAGTTTTTTTTATAGTTTTTTGATAGTGATCAACTCTACACTATCATAAAAAGAAAAAAAAATGGCTTGATACCAAGTTTTGTTTTGTCCCTACTCCCAGCCTGTGACTGAAGAAGATGCAGCAGAATTTATAATGTTGGATATTTGGATACAACTCCCTGGTGTTTGCCAGTTTACCTAAAGTGCTGTTAAAGGTCTGCATATGTGTTTCCAATGAATAGACCTAGTAAGAAAGTGGAAAAAAACTGTGAAAGTACAGTAATCAATACCAACCATATAAATGTATATTGTCATTTCTTTTGGACTCTTTAATTAGTTGCTGCCACTGTATAAACAAATGTCTAAAAAAACTCCTTCAGCATTTAAATAAAAAATGCTTAAAGCTAGCAACCTATTTAAGTAATTATTATGAGTTTAAAGTGTATAAGGTCTAAGCATCAGTTTTGGTTTTGGATAGATTATGGCATGGTTAAACCCCTCACAGTTTTCTTTTTTTTTGCTGTCTGTGGCCCTATTGGGAGATTTTCCTTAATTGCTTTTCTCAAGCCACAACAGATTGAAGAGATATCTTCAGAGAAAAGGAAATCCTCTTTTAGTTAGTTGTCACTGCAACATTGCTAACTGTTGGAAGATATCTCTTACCTCTTGTACCAATGACAACTCAACATTTTGGACTTCTTCTGACAATAGGCATCAGGACAATGATGCTGAATATGCCTGGGAGAGGCACAGATAGCAATAATAACCTGATAGAGTTTCCAACCATTGCCTGCTTTATCTATAATTAAAAATGATCTATAATTTAAAATGGCTTTAAATACACTTTATTCAAGTAAATTTACAAGATGTACCAGTGGCTGAGAAACTATACAAGGCTTCTTTATATTCCAGGTCCAATAATGTAAACATATTTCCAACTTGTTTTGTTTTTTGCTTAGGGTGAATCAGGGGTACCGGGATCACCTGGTTTACCAGGCCAGAAAGGCGATCCAGGAGTACAGGTAACCATATTTTTTATTATTTCTGCTCAGTTTGCTAGGGTCTAATAATTAGATTGTCACATAAGGGGAACAAATATTTATGTAACAAGTTAGACTGGTTTAGGCCTAGCTGGCATGAAGTTACACAACCAAATTTACTACACACTTACAAACCAGAATCAGAGGAGTATCAGTATACTGGAAGGAATTTGTATATTTTGGAATGATATTTATCATGATTGTGGTTCTTTTCTATCCTTCTTAAGCACGCTGTAGCTGTCCAAACTCTTTATGCATGACTTTAGTCATACCCATAATAACTTAGTTTTTTAATGATAAAATGGATACTAAAAATGAGGATTTGGAAGTTGCAAGATAACAGATCCTGTAATTGTACATTGTTGGATGGTAAAAGAAACTTGTCAATATAGAAATCTTGGAACTACCATTGTTTACTTGTATTTGCAGGGGAAGGTTCCCATGTGTCATCCCAATCCTTGCTGCATTACTCCCTAGCTGATTTAAAACAAAAAACAAACATGGAAGAGTAAGCACATGCACAGAGCCAGATTTATACTTTTTTTCTCCTCAGCTACCTAACACACTCATAGCATACAAAACCAAAATCAATTTACCAAGATTTAAAACATTCTAACAGTGCTTATAATCCCACTTAAAGATAATGAGGTGTCTGCAAAGACACTATAGTCATCATACTGACACACCAGAAACATGTAATCAGAAACAATATCAATACTAAATTGACACACCAGAAGTATGTTTGCAGACACACAATTGATCCGTATTGACACACCTAAAAATATTTACAGATAGAGAATCAATACCATATTGGCACACCAGAAACATGTCTCATTCTTTTTTAATGAGCCTCCAACATGCATCCACTGACCAAACAATGTACTGTACATGACATGTTTTATTTCCAATGCACTACAAGGCTACATATACTGTATGTATGTACTGTACATAAGTGTTAAGGGTCAGGTGCTTTTGTTTTGAGTGTGCATGCATGCTGAGGTACCTTTAGAACTGAATGGGAATACCCTTATGCACTGTGGCAAAAAAGTTTCAACTTGCACTGAGGACTTGTTCACACCACAATATGATATCAAGGGCATTACTACTGTGTATGGCAATATACTGTATATGTACACTGCAATTCATTTTTAATGTTATTCCCAATGCTCATACAGAGGGTACAGTAGTTCACAAATGTTCTGTCCATTATGTTCCAAAAAGTAGTGTTCTGCAAGCATTATTGGCTGTGGAGCCTCCTAATAATGCTACCAACTAACCAAAAAGTACACCTGCACTTCTTTTTAGCAATGCAGTGCACTGCCACAAATGTACATTCACAGTGTTTTGGTGCACTGAAATGTAGGTGCAATGCTTCATACTGCATATGTGTATTAGGGTGCCATTCACTGCAATGCAGATATACAGTGCCTTGTAGCACATTGTGGTAACACACATTACCATGCATACAAAAGCGTGCAGCTAGCCTTAGTACAGCTCAGAATCCTTTTGAAGCAGACATTATTATTACTATTATACAGGATTTATATAATGCTAACAGTTTGCTCAGCGCTTTACAATCTAAAGGGAGACAATACAGCAACAATACAGTTCAATACAAGAGGGTTAGCAGGGCCCTGCTCCTCAGAGCTTACAATCTAAGAGAGAATGACAACAAACCAGCCTATGTTAATAAACTCATGAAGGTATAGGCAATGTATGCATAGGTTGGCAGTAAACTGTATACATTCAAAATAATTTGGAAGCCCATAGTTGGTCTCAGCGACACTTTGCTATCACAAAAAAGCCCCATGCGCCCATTCCTTTTAGAACTATGTTCAGTAACAACAAAAAGCAAACAGTTGCCCACACACTCACCCTTCTGACTCCCCCACAGTTGTTCCAGTGCGACTTATTGTCACTGCGCACTTGGGTTGTAAGGGCAGGAGGTAGTGACTTCCTGGAGAAGATGAGCAGTTGGGAGGGTGTCACGGATCCCCCCCACACGCCCACAGCAATTAGCTAACCGAGGCGTGCACGTCTGGCCATGACTTGGGGTAAAGAGGGAATGAGGGGGACTTACTTTTTCGCATATACATAAAGCCGGCGGTGATACACTTTCACAGCCCGCACTACCTCTGGCCACCACTAGAGGGAGACTCCACTCCAATCCAGCTGGCTGACCACACACAGGCAGATACAAATCTTTTATACAATCTGGTGCACGCTAAGGGTTGGGGAGCAGTCTAGCAATTGGCACACCCTTCTAGGATTCCTCCAGCTATCCTACAAGCTAGAACCCCAGTGTTAATCACTCTTCCACTGTCCCACACACCCCCACACCAGACACACAACAAACGGTAGCTTTCCACCACCCAACAGTTTGTCTGCAGACTGATCTGCTGGGCCACCACACACACACAGATCTCTGTCTGGCAGATCTGCTACTTTACAATCTGCATGTAATCTGCCAACACGCAGTGCAATTGCATACAGATTGGCAATTAACTTGACCGAGCATATATAGACACTGCAATACAACAATCTTTTCAGGAGATATGAGCCCTAGCTTAAGTACCCAGAAGTCACTTATTAATTTTATGATTTATTATCCCGAAAGTGGGCAGTGCATAAAATATGTACAAAGAAAAAACAATTACAGAAAATACAAAAAGACACACAATTGGCTATTGACTATAAAATAAAAGGGAATAAAAACAGAAATAAAACTTTTACCAAGAGTTATCCTGCAACTGGAGCAAGTCAGAGAAAGTCCGCAATTCGTCAGTCAGATAGAACTGACTCTGTACGAATCACCCCGTCCATATCTCAGGGTCCTCAATTTATTGAAATATGGATGTAGGCTGGACATTAGCCCTTGGCCAATCAAACTTGGGGGGTGTTCCTCTACCAGCCCACAGGACGTTCTGGGTACTGACGTGCCCAAAGTCGATTGGACCAGGAACGGTGTGAATCACCAAGTCAGGGATAGAATTTCCAACACCAGCTCATCAGTCCAATCGCGACAGTACCAATCACTGTTCAGCTGTCGCAATCAGGCGCCATATAACCATTTTCTGCGTTTCTCCGGGATTCTACAGAGGCTACAAATACAGTTTTACATGCAGATGTAGCCTACAGTGTGTACAATCAGAAGAAAGTATTTTCATCTCTCTGCAACTAATACTTTAGCTTTTATGAGAAATTAAATATATTCCTTTGATCTGTGGGTATACGTCAGAGCTCCCAGACACATTGGAGCCACTGCTGGTCTCCTGCTGCTTACCGAAGCCGAAATGGCTGGAGCTCCTCTTCTAGACTTCAAGAAGGTGACTACGTTGGTGACAATGTTTTATTGGCATCTAGGTGTCACCTCCAGTCTAGAAGCTGCTAATTGGTGAACATATGTCTCTGACTGAACACGTAACATCTTTAATAACATGGAACTAAGCTACATATACAATGACATATTTCTACTGATCACATCTCAACTACTCGAATCTTACATTTATGTTACAAATGAGCAGTTGGGAGGGGTTTCTTGGAGGAGCGGTGCAGCAGGGTTTGGAAAGCATAGGTAGTGGTAATACTCACTAAATATGCCTTTACAGGCTGGATGTGGGGAGGAGCACTACAATTCTCAAGCTATAAGACTCTAGGAGCCTACAACCAGCTCAGATTTAATTGCCTGGGCACCAAAGTGCTGCCCACTTGTGGCCTATGGTTAAATTTGGTGGTGTACATGTGCTTTACACATTTGTTCCAGCTCAATGACTTACCACTGCGAAGGATTAAACATAACACTTTTAAAGCTTACACAAAAAAAATACAGCTACATAGTAGCAGCTCTAATATTCCTATTCTGATGGGTTTCTTTAAGAGACTAAGTTCACCTTTTACAGAAACTGGCCTGTGCATACAAGGGGCCCAGGTAGTTTTAAACGCACTGCGCGGTTTGTTAAAATATAGTTAGATGCAGATGCCATACCTGTAGGCTAGTTCTGTCCCTCATTCTGCCCGGCCCAGTACATAATTGTTTGCATCTTTACATGCTGGGTTAATTGCTTTTGCAGGACTCGGCAGTCATTGGCATTCACCCCTAGCATTGCAGGAGAGTACACTTTTCAAAAGCTGCACTCTCCTTCTACCTATCCTAACAATGCTGAGCTCAGCCTACTAAAACACATGAGGCTCTTTGTCCGTATGAGCCACTTTCTGTAAAAAGTAAATGAAGTCTTTAAGATACTGGATCAACAGAACATGGACAAAGGGAGAAATGCCATTTGTATGCAGCTCTTCCTAACCTTTACTCTGAATTCCTTTGGAGGAATCATTTATGACTTTATTACAAGCATCATATGCACACATAGGAATTTTACAAGGGGTTTATATATAGAATGTTTTCCTCAATGATTATAAATAGTTTAATTGGTTTGTTGCCATCACACTGGTTTCTGCTACAATATTTCATCCCAGAAAAGCATTCATGGGGCGTGATACCATCACCTTTTCCAATATGCAGGCTATGTGTAGAATCTACGGTGTAACATAACAGCTATATTTTCTGCAGTCTCCCTCTATATGGTATCTCAAGAATCTAAAGGGTCCAATTCATTGTGATAAATGAATACTGTATCTTCTCTTGAACTTTGACTGTTATGTTTAAATAACCTTATGGGATAGACATTTACAAGCTAAATCAGATGATTTAATAGTTTTTCAGGTGACTGCCACTTTACAGATACATGGATGTCATGAAAAGGGAGAAGTGGGGGGGGGGGGGGGGTTGACAACTTGTGAAATGTGTTTAAGAAACCTCTTTGATAAAAGGTCAATTTGATTCTTTAAAGCACTGGCGGCAGCAGTGGAAGGCTGATTTCTTCAGTGTATGATCAGTATACTTTCTCCATGGCAAAATTTGAAAAGAGGATGTACAATTGTACTAGTTATAATAATACCAAACATATATATTGTGTTCAAATTAT